GTTCTTTATGGAATTTCACACAAACAATATAACTTAAAAACGTTTGTCAACCGTTGAAAAAAGTTCAGCTGTCAAATTCCTTCTTTCTCGGTTCTTTATGGAATTTCACACAAACAATATAACTTAAAAACGTTTGTCAACCGTTGAAAAAAGTTCAGCTGTCAAATTCCTTCTTTCTCGGTTCTTTATGGAATTTCACACAAACAATATAAGTTAAAAACGTTTGTCATCCGTTGAAAAAAGTTCAGCTGTCAAATTTCTTCTTTCTCGGTTCTTTATGGAATTTCACACAAACAATATAACTTAAAAACGTTTGTCGTAGTTGTCTTTAAAATATTCAGTGACTTACAAGAACAGTTTTTACTTAATTATAGTTTCCAGTTATCTCTAATTGTGCATTATAAAACGGTATCCAAAGTAGTCTTAACTAGTCGGTGTTAAAATTGATAACCTAAATACGTATTAGTATTCAATATCTAATCTGTGTTCCTCGTTTGTTCTGTCTGCTGATGGTTACATTTCCTCATAAAAGTTTTAAGATGCAATTATATAGAACGTAGAACTGGGCGATTAACTCGATTAATCAATATAATTTATTAGTGTCGTGTAAAATAGGAGACCTATCATGGTTATGATAAAATGGATTATTGTAAGACAAAATTACTGTATTCAAAATATTTCTATTATAATATCTAATTATTATTATCGATTAATTCAAGTTTGTTTAGTTTAACCTGATATTTTCGCAGCTGAAAATGAGTGTTTCTGACTGTTACTATTTTTTATTATTTCAAGTATGCAAATCTCGGGAGAATAATCAATTAGTTGAATGCAATTGTTTAATGAATCTGCCAATTAATCAGTTAGACATTCCACTAATTGCCCAGCCCTAACTGGATGAAGATAATGGTTTTTAAGATGGTCTTAAACACTCTTCAAAATGGTTTCTTTGTTCCTTAATAATTTAAGCTCACCAATATATATATAGTTTTTTGATATGCCTGTAAATTTTAATAATGTTTGTGTTTAAAAAGTTTAACTAGTGAAATAGCTTGTATTCACAGCTGTATCTTTATGAATGACTATAAATTATCCAGGTAATGAGTATTGTTTGCACAAGACAGGTGAGTAATGTGACAATAACCTTACATTACCCATGCTAGTTTTTGTATCTGGAAAATAGCAATCAGTTATCGATTATTAAACCTTGTATACTGTAACTGGAGAAGTGTGACACGAACTGCATGTGTATGTGCTGAGATAAGAGGGAATAAAACACTGTCCTCGCTGCTACTAATAATAAGGGATAAGATTTTGGTATTTACTTAAGTAAGATAAAATATTTTTTTTCTTTACTAAATTTAATCTCAAGTGAATGATAAATTTAATAATAATAAGTTTGTGCATAGTTCTTTCGAGGTGTAACTGATTCTTTGATTTACCAATAGATTTGTGATTTTGGCCTGGCTCGTGTGGCTGATCCAGATCACGATCACACTGGACTTCTAACAGAATATGTTGCTACCAGGTGGTACCGTGCACCAGAGATCATGTTGAACAGTAAAGGCTATACAAAATCAAGTATCCTTCTATTCTATAGTTGCTTGTGGTTCGAGAAGCTAGATATTACGTTATCGGGAAGCTAATGACGCACGGGAGAATGTACTTTTACTAATAAGTTATTGTTTCAAAAGGATATAAACTGAAACTTTTGTGTTAATTGGCTAAGTAGTTTTTGCCTGACCAGTATTTTTTAAAATAAATCACGTTTTGACTTTTAAAAAATCACAAACTAGTCCTTAAGGTATGTACCTGATTGTTTTGGTAATTTTTCCATTTTTTTTCTAATTGGTCATTAATTAATGTGAATTATATAATAAAATGAAGTTGTAATTTTTGTGCACATGTGCTACGTTTGCGTTAATTGTGTTAAGTAAATAAAATTTCGGCAGTGGATTAACATAGGATTTCCATACCACCTTTTACCGATGGCCAGGTGGTTAGGGTGCTTGACTTGCAATCTGAAGGTCATGGGTTCGAATCCCACCAAACCTGCTCGCCCTTTCGGCCATGGCGGTGTTATAATGGTACAGTCAATCCCACTATTGGTTGATAAAAGAGTAGCCCAAGAGTCGGAGGTGGGTAGTGATGACTAGCTGCCTTCCCTCTAGTTTTTTCTCTGCTAAATTAAGGACAGCTAGTGCACACAGCCCTCGTGTAGCTTTGCACGAAATTCAAAACAAACAAACCTTTTACTGATCAGGCTCTTAACCCTGTAGCTATATTGATAAACACACATCTTTCATGTGTTAGATCACCCAAAAAATGTATTTGTACTTGTTGGTATTAAAATGCTTGTACTACATGATTCATGGACAGTTGTAGCCTCACTCTTTATTTGATACAGTACTTGCATTGTTAACATTCTTAACATTTTAACACAGTTGACATCTGGGCTGTTGGATGCATCTTAGGAGAAATGTTATCAAATAAACCTATCTTCCCTGGAAAACATTGTAAGTTATTATCCTTTTAAAATGTTGTAGTAGATAGGAACTTACAGTAAGTTGTATGTTGTAGTAGATGTGTTACAATGTGTGGCATCTCTAAGTTATATGTTGTAGTAGATGTGTTACAATGTGTGGTGTTCCTGTAAGTTATATGTTGTAGTAGATGTGTTACAATGTGTGGTGTTCCTGTAAGTTATATGTTGTAGTAGATGTGTTACAATGTGTGGTGTTCCTGTAAGTTATATGTTGTAGTAGATGTGTTACAATGTGTGGTGTTCCTGTAAGTTATATGTTGTAGTAGATGTGTTACAATGTGTGGCGTCTCTAAGTTATATGTTGTATAACACATCCCACACATTGAACTTACAGGAACAACTACAACATATTAACACATCTTGCAGGAACACCACACATATGTATTGGCATCTGACATCATCATAATGTTGATATTGAAACCACACCATGAATGACGATTATATCAGAACATATCTGAAACTAATTTTTGGCCTCTAAGACACCAGTTATATTAAGCTACTTATCCCTGCATGCATGGTCAAAGGTCACATGCCATAACCTTTTATAGAGTACCATTCAACATCATATTTAATCGATATAACTTACAGGAACACCACACATTGTAACACATCTACTACAACATATAACTTACCAGAAAGTTTTATTATGAATACTATTTTTCTTAGTGGATCTGATTATAACAAAGATTGTTTCTTATGACTAACGGTTTAACTGCTATAGTTGTTTATGTATGTATTCAATAATTGAACTTTATTTAACTGCTCGTAGGTATTGTAAAAAATGCTGCGTATCTCTAATGTAAATAGTAGTGCCATTAGTGATGATTGTTGAATAAACAAACATGCCCTAAGTAGCACCACAAGTTCAAAGTATTCATGCTGAAATTTAAACATGTATATTTTGTTCAAAACTTTTGGCATTGTGGTAAACTGCGTGAAAATTATTCTAGCCACACCAAAAATATTACGCTTGTGGTGACTGATTGATGGGAACGTAGATGTTAAGGTTTGTGAGTTTGTACGAGCTAGTGTTTTTTTTGTATTCACACTCTTCTGTTCAGACTATCTCGGTAATTACTGTGTGTTTTTCGTTTTTAATCTGTCTGTAATTTCATGATTTCGTTACATTTGATAAACAAATTTCTTTCCACTTTTTCACCATAGACTTGGATCAGTTAAACCTAATTCTTGGGATTCTTGGTTCCCCATCTCAAGAAGATTTCAGTTGCATAATCAACGAAAAGGTATAAAAGTTATATGTTCTCACAAGTTTTACACTAGAATGATTTTAACAATTTTCTATTAATTAACCGTTGTCGGTGGAGCCTTTAATAAATCAAGTATCACAACTTAAAAGCTGAAACGCGGTGTTAGTTGCTGGGTTAATTTGTAAACTCTGTTAGTTAAATCTTCATGTTATAGTCAATTTGCAAGTGCTGGAGACACGGGTGTATGTTAAGATCGTACTAATAATCATTTATTTGAATTTCTTAATATTAGTTTCTTACCTTTGTTTTGTTGCAAAATAAAATTGTGTTTCATCGCTAGTACCCAGCTGATTTCTGTAGATCTATGATGCACTCTTCAGAATATTTACCATTATTGCAGACTGCAATGAACCATATAGTTAAAAAAAGAATAACAAGGTTCATTTGTGACCTTTACCACAAGATTAGACAAAGTGAAAATGTTGATACGAAGTAATAATAACCAATGATGAGTTCCCCTGGTAGTCTACACTTTAACAGATTCTTTAATAATAACCAACGATAAGTTCCCGTGGTAGTCTACAGTTTAACAGATTCTTTAATAATAACCAATGATGAGTTCCTCTGGTAGTCTACAGTTTAACAGATTCTTTAATAATAACCAATGATGAGTTCCCCTGGTAGTCTACAGTTTAACAGATTCTTTAATAATAACCAATGATGAGTTCCCCTGGTAGTCTACAGATTCTTTAATAATAACCAATGATAAGTTCCCCTGGTAGTCAACAGATTTGAGGGTCACAAGAATCTCTCCAAGTAACTGATACAGAGTTCTTCCCTAACATCAACGTGATTTTCTGTTGTTTTCTAACACTCACAGTTAGTTGTGAGAGAAGATTCTCATTTTTTGAAGGACTGAACATAATCTGAAGATTAATGTTGTTAGTTTGCTCTTCTAACCTGTCACAGATGTTAAAGTAACCTTTCCAAAAGAGTAATTTTACACAATTTGATGCCAGTGGTCGCAGGAAGACTACAATTAAAATTAGATGCACATATGTATATATATATATATATATAATGTCTGTTTTTGTGCATGTTTTTTGTTGTTGTTATGATAACTTGAATTTGACGGGGGGGCTGTACGTGGACCGGTGCCTCTGTGATTTTTCATGGCTGGCTACGTTCTATTTGTAAGTAGGCTTACCAATAGAAAAGATTGCTTTTAGAATTACACAGGAGAGAGAGAGAGATGCTATTAACTTCTTTGTCCGATTGAAACGTTTATTCCTTTGATATAGTTCATAAAAAGAATTGTGTAAATTGTATTTCAGGCTAGGAGCTACCTCCAGTCACTTCCACCTAAACCCAAAATTCCATGGGAAAAACTGTATTCAGGAGCCAATCCTCAAGGTAAAACTGTAATTTGTGTCGCAAGGAACCGTACACGTTGCATATTTCCTTGCTGACTATCAGTGTTTTATTGTAAAAGTAATACGTACTCTGTAATTCTCAAGGTAACACTGTAATTTGTGTCGCAAGGAACCGTACACGTTGCATATTTCCTTGCTGACTATCGGTGTTTTATTGTAAAAGTAATACGTACTCTGTAATCTTCCCAGTGAAACATTTAAAGTGGTCATATTTTTTGTGAATGTGTTCTATCAAACCTGTTTTTTTATTTTCAACCTACCTGAACTGCACCTATATATATATATATTATAAACATAGACAAATACTTGAATAACTGTGGCCAGTATTGATAACTACACTCAGTCTGTTAAGGTTTGTGTAAAACTACTATATATATATTATAAACATAGACAAATACTTGAATAATTGTGGTCAGTATTGATAACTACACTCAGTCTGTTAAGGTGTGTGTAAAACTACTATATATATTATAAACATAGACAAATACTTGAATAATTGTGGTCAGTATTGATAACTACACTCAGTCTGTTAAGGTGTGTGTAAAACTACTATATATATTATAAACATAGACAAATACTTGAATAATTGTGGTCAGTATTGATAACTACACTCAGTGTGTTAAGAAGTGGAGTTCGGTCAAAAGTTATTTGTATGATTACGAATATTTTTTTTTCCCCCTTCCAGCTATAGATCTTCTGGACAGGCTGTTGACTTTTAACCCCCAAAAGAGAATTACTTTAGAAGAGGCACTTGCCCATCCTTATCTTCAGCAGTATTATGACCCTGATGATGAGGTGAACCACTTTCATTCATACTAACTCTAATATCGAAAGCTAGATATCTCGTGTTAGAACAAGATTGGTAAAAAACTCCCCATGACAAACAATGTTGAAAGTTAGGTATCTCATGTTAGAACAAGATTGGTAAAAAAACCCATGATAAACAATGTTAAAAGTTAGATATCTCATGTTAGAACAAGATTGGTATAAAACTCCCCATGACAAACAATGTTGAAAGTTAGGTATCTCATGTTAGAACAAGATTGGTATAAAACTCCCCATGACAAACAATGTTGAAAGTTAGGTATCTCATGTTAGAACAAGATTGGTAAAAAACAACCAAGACAAAACAATATCGAAAGTTAGATATCTCGTGTTAGAACAAGATTGGTAAAAAAAAAAAAACCATGACAAACAGTGTTAAAAGTTAGGTATCTCATGTTAATTATTTTCCTCAACCAGTTTGCTACATCATCATTAGTGCTTACCGGTTGTTAATTATTTTCCTCAACCAGTATGCTACGTCATCATTAGTGCTTACCGGTTGTTAATTATTTTCCTCAACCAGTATGCTACATCATCATTAGTGCTTACCGGTTGTTAATTATTTTCCTCAAACAGTATGCTACATCATCATTAGTGCTTACCGGTTGTTAATTATTTTCCTCAACCAGTATGCTACATCATCATTAGTGCTTACCGGTTGTTAATTATTTTCCTCAACCAGTATGCTACATCATCATTAGTGCTTACCACTAATGGAGATGGTTATGTTACATGTGATGACACATTTTATGGTTGAATAGCCTGTGAACTATCATTATTTTCTCAGGCAACCACAATAAACAGTTGATTGAGCTCTATGTAGTTTGTTACGGCTTGAGTTAAACAACGGATCTGAACTTTTCTCCTGCTGTTTTTTACACATAGCTACACAATATTTCAGTGCTTTCTGTTAGGGTAAAGAGGATACTGTTTTGTGATCTCATAACTTTAATCTAGGATCACAAAACACCATCAGATGTGATATTGAAAAAAAAAAGATGTATAGATGTTTCAAAAGTTAAAAATCTGTTTTTGAACTAAGCTCACTTTACTTTATGTAGCCCGTAGCTGAAAAACCATTCCGATTTGAAATGGAGCTTGACGACCTGCCAAAGGAAAGACTCAAGGAATTGATATTTGAGGAGACGGTGTTGTTTAAACAGAATCTTCAGCAGTAAGTGCAGGATTTTGTTTAACAGGTAAGAGTTTTTGTTTCACAATCATCTTTCTCTTCTCATTTTAGCTTGTACTCGAGAAAATCTGTTGGGGGAAGAAATTAGTATTGTTTAGTACTTTTAAGGTTTCTTTAAGACCTGGATGCTCGGGGCAGTCAACTCACAATCCGTAAGCCTTAGGGGCATTATAACGTGATGGTCAATCTCACTACATGTTGGTAAAAGAGTAGCTCGAATCTTGGCAGTTGATAGTGTTGGCAACTGTCTCCATTCTCGTCTGTCACGTTAAAATTATAGACGGCTAGCAGAGATAACCCTCAAGTAGCTTTGACTACATTTAACAAATGATGAAACATTTTCAAGTCCCTAACAATTTTATCACTACAGGTGCGAACTCAAATGACTTATTTCCAAATGATACTAATATATTCACTCAAAGACTAACTAAATATTTCAAAATATTCCAAAAACTGATAAAATTATATAAGAACTGACGTGTAAAATCCAATAAATATCTTGAATCGGTAATTGTAATTTAGATTCAACCTTGGATAAATTGTAATTCTTAAAATTCGTTTATAATATTCTATATTTACTAAATGTTTATATGAAACTGCAGTTTTAGTGTTAGATATTGTTTGTTTTAATATCAGTAAACAGAACCTGAAAACGGACAGACTAAATAAATTCGGTGTTTTTTTATGAAAGTGTCTCATTACACTTGTATGGTGTATGTTTTGTATTGGTAATTATTTGTATGTATATAATTTCTTATCCTTTCTTTCTCTCTTACAAGATTAAAATAACTCTCAATTTAACATTACTCTACTTTAAAATAGGTGCTGTCAGTTTATCCTAATTCCTTCTTTTGATATACAAGAAAAAAATACACATAATTCAGATTTATATTTCCTACGTTACATTACGTACTATTTATAGAAAAGTTTATTTTAGAATTAGTCCAACCACAAATGCCAGATATATATATAAAACTTTTAATATACCAGACGTTTCAACTTGATAAAAACATAATTCAAAATGTCAGATACATTAGAATGTTTATTTACATGTGGTTTGTGACTGTATTTATTTGAATAATGGTTTCTGATCTACTGTGTGCACTTAGATATATATGAATTTATGTAATGAGCTCATTATTTATTGTTTTATTTAAAGACCCAGAGAGCTATCTTTCGTTAACGGTTATTTTTTAATCTATTGTTTCTTATATTGTTATATTGAAACATTATTGTTTTCTTGTATTTTTGGTTTAGTGTCAGAAGATTGTATAATCATCTTTCTTTGTCTAACAATGAAGCAGTTTGCCAGATTTTTGAGTCAACTTTTCAATACCCTATCACCTGCTGTTGTGATGAGGTATTCACAAGACAAACACTGTCTCCGCCTGTATTCTGACTCCTCTTACTGACCTTGCATAATTATATTAATGTTACGATGTAGTTCGTTTCTTTTTTTTATCCCTATTTACCACACTGGTGTGGCATTGTTAACAGGGAACATATACTGGTCAAGAATAAAGATACCTAATTGAAGTTCAAATTGAGTACGTTAAGTGCTTTTTTTTTTGTTTAGTATATACCGAAAACTTGTTAGGTGCGATGTTGAAGGAACTATTTTGATATTAGGTATTTTACATCTTAATATTGAATTCTCAAGAGGTTTTTTAGTAATAGTTTGAAACTTAAATTGGGCATCCTTTTTAATCGACCACAGTTTGAAATGTAGAGGTAACGTGAACATCTGTTTAATTGTTTCTCACTATAACTCATGGTACTACTGGTAAGATTCACATTTTACTTCCATGCTTGTCGTCATTTTCCAGTATATAAGAGCTAGTTTCTAGTGTTAAACTTATTGGTCAGTTCGTCAATGGGTCACGTTAATATCAAGATGGTCACGTTACACGTTGAGTTTTATGAATGACAGTTCGTTTACTTCTTTGATCTGTGCGTTTCTAAGAATTAAAATTTTGAAGATGTTACAAATCGTAACAATGAACAATTGATTCGCTATCGTTTTTTTTATATTTATACGTAACTTAAAAAAATAAAAAAAAAACAATCTTTTCAAATAAATGTATTATAATGTCACTTAAATCTAAAATATAAAAAGTTTAACTGTATGTTCAATGTAAAAGTTAATAACATCTGTCCAGTACTTGGGAAAAAAATATATATATATATATGTATGTATAAATATATGTACAATATATTTAAATTAGAATTTAGGACATTACCTGATTAAAAATGATAATTAAATATAGTTCTGTGAGAATTTTCTGAGACAGGGTGACTTATAAATATTCCAGAATAAAAACCAGAGAAACAAGATTCAAGAAATTTCATTTTATTCTCATTAAAAAAACAAATTCAATGGTGAAAACTAATTTCTAAATAGTAAGTATCCTTTACTATTATACCTCTTGAAGAACAAGATCTAATTCATTAGACTCACTAAAAAAAAAAGTGTATAATGCACGAGTCAGTTATAATCTGAAATTGGGTAACGTTATTTTTGACCATTATGTGACCTTTACGTTTGTGCATTTTTAGTGTCATTACTCGGTGTTGTAAATTATTTCAGTTTGTGTTTGTAGAGCCAGAAATAGATCCTGCGGGTTGCAGAAATTTTGGTGATTATATTTTAAATTAATTCAATAAATTTATTGTCTTTGCTGTAGAAACTTTTTCTCTATTTTTCTCACAGTATTTTCTCTAATAGATTGTTCAATGTTTAACGGTTTTTCTGCTAAGGAAGTTTTGCTCGATTCGGTTGTTAACGGATTTTGTTTTTGACGCAGATATAGCTTGTCGGGACAACTGGATATATATATATATAGCTTTCTAATTTAATATAGGCTTAATGTAATTAACAGATTTAACTCTTATCCTAAACAGAAGCTGTCTTTTCTTGATATGGAGCCACAAAATCTTTTGTATACAGATAACCGTTAAGTTTGCAGTATTGTAAGGTTCTTTAAAAACGTGTAATCGAAATATAAACTAGGAATACTGTATAGATTGTCCCTCAAATAGTTCTATAGTGATTTAGAAACACTATAGAATATTATTTGTAGTTGACGTTGGCAGTTGTTTTGAATGTAAAAACATGAGGAATTCATGTTGATGAGGTTGTGATTCATTGATTGATGATATTTAATCATGTTAAAATTCTATTGATCTTTATAAAGTTAATTTTTCATTAGCTGATTGGATGATTAGGTCTTAATAAGGTGCTACTGTTCTGCGTGTTTTTTACATCATATCAAGAATGTTAAGTCTGTTTCTAATGGCTAGAAACGGCGTTTCAATGAAACTTAAAAAAAAAAGTGTTAGTGAAGTAACTGTAAATCAGGACTTTACAAAATATTATACATAACATTTAATAATGGATTAAAACTTAGGTACTCGAAGAAAAGTTTCTTAATCTGTTACAACTTCTTGTATCATTTTGTAACTACGTCTAATATTGAACCAATTAATCTTGTAAGAAACGTACATTTAGGCTGTCAAATAATCCTGTTTTTTTTTTTTATAGTTATACCTAATATCTTGTAGTTTTAAGTAGGAAAGAACTGAATTTATTGTTTGTCGTATGGTTTGGGAATTTTTTGCAAATATGCACATACACTTGTCAAGTGTTTGTAAATTTGTGTGAAGTAACACAAAGGGTAACGTACTCTAACCTTTAATCTGTACAATTTAAAACCCAAACTTTTTTTTTCCAGTTGTAAATGGTACGTCAGATTTTTTTACGGACAATATTTAAATGGATCTGTATTTTATCCACTACAAGGTAACGATATTCAAAGGATTTGTTGAAGCGTAAACGAGTTGAGGAGACGGTTATCCTCTGTGGCTGTCTGCTGCATTTTTACCTCACTGTATTTTGTTGTGTTCTCATATTGATTCACTGTAAACAAAATTTACGAAACATTTACCGAAACTTTGAAACTGTCGTTCCGGACATTTAAAAGTAGAACAAAGTGTTTTACAATTAACTTCATATAAGGTGCAGAAATAAGTTAAAGAAGTACAAGTTTCAAGATAATATTCCTCTTAATTAAATACTTAGGTTTACGATTAAAGCCTAACCATAAATTACTTAGTTTTGTTTCCAGTTGTTAAAAAATGATAAACCTAATATTCATTTCGAAAGTTATCATTAGTTATACTATATAGATTATGCTACCGTATCTTATACGAATTTGTGTGTGTCCGTAACATTTCCCTCAGTTGCGTATATTAGGTGGTTGCTTTAGCTTCGTGTCTGCTGATTAGAAAGTTTTATTTTGAGAAATCAGTGTTTCTACCCTTCCATTAATAGATGTTGGAATTAACTTTAAACACAGTTACCAAGGTTTTAACAACATATTTATGAATGATTTTATGGCTACTAGTTTTCATACAAAAAAAATCAGTTTTATTCTTTCGATATGAAACTTGCAAATGCTTGATTTTAAGGTGTTGTATTAGTGTAATAAATAATTTCAGTTAATAAAAAAAATAGTTAAACGTATGAACAGAAAGAATTAACCACAATATTGTGAATATACAGAGATTCTGCAAGTAGGAATTTGAATTTTAAGTATACCCGTGGTTGTGAAAAATAGTTCGAATGAATTTATAATTTTTATTAGATATAATACTATTGATGTTAAAAGTGTAGGACAATTTACAAAAGATTTTACAATTATTTAAGTTCTCGGTAAAAATGGAAAGCACTTTATACACCAGCTGTTTAAACTATTTAAACATATATATATACTCTACTTCATTGTCTTCAATGCTTGTTTCACATCATTGGTAATTAATATGTAAGTGTGACATTAGCATGTGTGTTAGACAACAGTTAGTGGATAATTTCATCGTAGTTGACAGCTGTTAGTCTGCATGAACTTTGATTCGTATATGTATAAGTTGGAATGTATTTGCTGCTGGGTAATTAATATCGTCTTTTATTGTAGTCTTATGAAACTAGCATTATGCGTACCTAATTTTAAAAAAATGGGAAAATCATGATCTTCTTCGTCTTGTTAAATAAATGTTTCTCAATATATAGTTTTTGTTACAGAAAATGTATTTCAAATGATATAATAACATGAGATATGAATCATGAAAAAATAAAACATTTTACTTTTAAAATACATCATTTATGTTAGTAATTGTTAATCTTTTTTTTTTTTTTTAGATATAAGAAACTCAAAATATGATTTTAGTTTTGAAATTTGATGTTTATATTTGTGGGTTACAAACATTTTTATAATTTTTTTTTATATATATAAAGAATGTTGTTGAGCAGTGAGTTTAATCCTCACATGATAGTTAATTATAACATCTCAGCTTGCTAGTCTTGTCTTAATCATTTGTGATAGGTGTTTTTACCATAAGTTCATCTTTGTTTGGAAAGGTTGAGCCTTTTTTTTTGTAATTTTTAATATAAACTAGGCTGCTGATCTACGAGCTCTAGTCTTACTTGTGGGAAAAAAAAAATTATCTTGTGATTATATGTTAAAAATAAAATTTTATGTGAAGCATTTTTTTTTTGTAAATATTTATGAACAGGTGCACAAATTGACCATGAAGAAATGAAAATCAAAATTTTGACAGTTGTCATTCATGGTGCTACTTCTAGCATTTCTAGTTTGTCCATTCTTTCAGTTCTTACTGCTTTAATTAATTCTGTTTGCTTTTGTTTTAGATGTATATAAGGAATAAATGCATCATGTCTGAATATTGAAATATAACCTTGTTGTTTGGTTAATTTGTTTGTGTGTGTGTGTGTTAAAATCAAAAGCTTTGTATGTTTAAAGCACATTTATGGTGTAATGTGTCCGAAGAACAGTTATACGTTAATACTTAATTGTAATGGAAAAAGGTTATTTATATTAACATCGAAATAAGTGTATTTACTGCTGATATGTTGTTCACTCTTGTTTACCAGTCTCTTTATAACGTTGGTCTAGAAGTACGGTGTCGTATATATAGCTATTGTCTGCTGTATGAGCATTTAATGTAGCCAAAAAAAAAAGTTGTGCTCAGATATCAAACGTTTTTTGTAAATGCTTCAACTTCTAGGACCTTTTCTTAACATGTATTAATCTTATGCTTTTTGTTTATGTGGTTTTCTTTTTCTGTAATGCAGCATAAAACAAGGGTTAAATGATCCCGAAAAAACCTGTACCTCAGCTGATTGATGTATATATATATATGTATGTGTGTGTGTTGTGGGTTAAAAGTTTGTTATTACTGAATTCATTTTCATTCAGATATTACATGTTTTATTAATATTTTATTTTAATAATAAATGCTTATATTTGAAATAATACATTGTGTGCTTTGTAGCGTAAACTGTTGAAAACAAAATATTGTTGTTTTTTAAGCTGTTTAAAACTTTTCAATGATATGGTTGTTGTTTATCATTATAACTGAAAAATAAATCGAGTGGATATTTTTTTTTTACACCATTTCAAGAAAATAGGTTTTCTTCAAAACGTTTACCAGTTGGATTCTTGTCTTTAAAAAAAAAGTTTAATTTTTTTCAGTGAACCTTAAAATAGTTTTTCTGTCTTTCTACGCGAGTTTTTAATGTTATTGCTAATGAGATGATGTGAATTTAATTATTACTATTGTTCGTATGTTTCATTACAAGTTTGCTTGATGTCATTGCAAGAACTTTATCAATATTTTATGCATTTCAGATACTTTTATCTGTGGTATTTTCTCATTCAACTGTGATTGATTAAAGTATTCTTGATGTGACGAGAATGTCCTAATAGTTTTATTGTCAACATTGTCAGAAATAGTTTAATATTTATTATGTCATTGCTGTAGGTGGTGGTAGCTAAAAAAAAATATGTATTTTATGTTTCTTTATTATATAAAGCATTTATCATTTATGCTTTTTTTAATGCAATAAAAAAATTTGGTTTTATATATTTTACTGTGTATTTAGAACCAATGAGTGATATTAGTTTGAGGCGAAATCGTTGTTCTTCTAAAGATTTCTGGACCACTTCATTTAGTGCAACCAATTTGATCATTTTTTTAAACAAAAATACCATTCCATTTTTGACATTGAAGTGAAAACAAAAAATAATTAATATATATTGCCATTTTATTAATAAAAAGTAAGCATTTTTAAATGTTTACTGACATGAAGAATTGGTGGCTAGATGAGAATATTAGTAATTTAATATTTGAATTATGTATAAGAAAAAAAAAGTCAAATCAAATGGTGGAATGGCTCAGAATATTATAAAGTGACAGAATATTTCTAATTACTGTTGATTCTTTTTTTTTTTATGCTGTCTTTGTTTATGGATTTCTCGTCTTTTTAAGAAAGTTTTAGTATTAACAGGTTTCATTCAATTCTCTGTGAAAAGCTTTATATTTTTTGTTGTTAGATGTTGATGTTAAATAGTGATGTAAGGTTCATTTTATATGTTATTGATTAATCTTCTTGATTTAACAAATTTCCATGAAATGTAGTTATCGTTCAATTAAGGTCTCATGTTTCTGTGTGCGATAATTTTTTTCTTTAATTGTACATTTGTAATATGCATGTCATTTATGTGTAAAATCTTACGACTTTTTTTTTTTTCTTCCTTCCGTTTTTTCAAATTTGGGATATTAATAAAAGGTTTCATTAAGACAATAGTAAGTTTATTTTATGCATGGAAACATAATTTCATTAGTGGCATGACAATTTATCATTTTGAGATTCCAAACACAATAGCATATTTAAACTAGAATACTGTGGACTAAATAATCTTTTAAATAATGTACATTTATTATATGTAAAAAAAAATCTTATTGTATTTATTTACATGTAGCTGACATTACATTACTTGAGATATGTATTACTTTTCTCCAGAAACAAGTTATATCCTTTGCAGTACCATATTTTCACCAAACAGTTACAGGAATTTAGCAGCTGTTCCACATTAACTCTCGGTAGTAAACGATTAAACTGTGGCAGAGATTTTTATATATTAAAAGTTTAAACGTTAGGCCTTTTTTAAGTGGGCCCGGCATGGCCAGGTGGTTAGGGTGCTCGACTAGCAATCTGCAGGTCTCGGGTTCGAATCCCCGTCACACCAAACATGCTCGTCCTTTCAGCCGTGGGGGCGTTATAAAGTGACGGTCAATCCCACTATTCGTTGGTAAAAGAGTGGCCCAAGAGTTGGCGGTGGGTGCCTTCCCTCTAGTCTTACACTGCTAAATTAGGGAGGGCTAGCGCAGATAGCCCTCGTGTAGCTTTGCGCGAAATTCAAAACAAACAAACAAACTTTTTATAAGTTGTTATTTTAGCTGGTAAAACTCACTATTTATGAGTTTGAACATGCAGGTATGAACCGGAAGGATGTATCATATGTACAAGTATTAATGTTAATATTCTAGCTCTTTGACTTGGATAAAGTATGATTCTCAAATGTAAATATTTCACTAGTTGAACAATGTTTACCACCATTTCTCTTTCAGCTTAACACGTTCGTTGCCACGTAATATATTAACTATAAAAAAAATTAAACATTCGACACGTGCCAAGGAGCAGTCACAGCATCCCAAACTCGTATTCCACAAGAGAAGTTTGACTTTGAAACATAGTTGTCTACGAGCCACCAGTTGGGACACGTGGCAGCGGACATTTTGAACATGGAAATTTGTTTATTCAAGCTCGTGGTGACAGTTAAATATAAGTAACCAGTCTTTTGTGTCGGATGCTAGCTGAACAGATAGTACACATCTTGAAAAGAAGCATAATGCATCTTAAAGATTTGTTAAAGCTTGAAAGAGTTTTTGAGGTATTCATGTATTGGAAATCAAACGGCGGGACTCGTGATAACTAAAAGTAACTCGGTTGTCATTTAAGATAACTTGTAGATCTTAGCTTCGGTCTTTAACTAGAGATTATTACTGAGGAATGAGATATGTCCTCTGTATTAGTTACTTTGTATTGGCTTTATTACATCAAGGAGATAATTTTTTCTCAGTCTGTTGCCAAACCAATTACAAGTAAACAGTATTGTGATTAAGTCCTAACACGTCACATGTTATGGAAAATTCCAGTCTGTTGCTAAACCACATACAAAGTAAACAATATTGTGATTAAGGCCTAACACATCACATATTATGGACAATCTCAGTCTGTTGCTAAACCACATACAAAGTAAACAATATTGTGATTAAGGCCTAACACGTCACATATTATGGACAATCTCAGTCTGTTGCTAAACCACATACAAAGTAAACAATATTGTGATTAAGGCCTAACACATCACATATTATGGAGAAATAAGTTAAATATTTAATTTATGATTAAATATTTTTGTTTTTTAAATTGCTCTCGAGATAATCTAATAATTTTCCTTATTCTGCTTCCATATTGGTTTTATAGAACTCTAGTTAGAAGTTGTGTTCAAATCACAAAATATCAATGTTAAATGAAAATAAATACGAAGAAAAAATATAATTGGGAATTAATCAACATAGAGCACTTTTATATGTCCAGGGCTGGGCATAGCTTAATGGTTAGCTTGTCCAAACCGCGCATCTGAGGGTTCAGAGTTCATGTTTACTGCAAAGCCGTGTTCCCACTTTGGGGGTCATGGATGCACTGCAGGAGTTGACAATCAGATCTCTATTCGTTCAGACAAGAGTTGGCTAGCTACATTCATCTAGTCTATCAGTACAAAATTAATCTCCCACCCCCATCAATGAAAGTCTGAGGGTTTATACCCATGGTGGACACACCACAAATATTATTTTGGGTAGTTTGTACTTAACAATAAGACAGAATTTGGTTTGGCTAAGTGCTGAAATCCATTGTGCAGCTTTGCGAGAACTTTTCAAGTATATACAACAAATTAATAGTTATATTAGACCACTACTACCGTTTACATAATATACGTTCTGAAATTTCTTCATATTGTAACTACCAAAGAAGTCAAGTTTATTGGATATCCAATGTTATCTTCCTTTCTAATGTAAATAAATCAAGAATCCATTCAAAACTCTTCGATACCAGTCTTTCTAAAATATTACATTACATACGGAGATGGTGAAAAGTGGAATTTTAAATTATCCTATTTTATGCACATGCTATATCGTTCAGCCTTACTTGTTAACTTTTACACATTTAATTCACTACTCACGCCCGGCAATGAAAACCTTACGCATCAAAAACTTCCAAAGTTATCTATTTTGCATCATTTTTGATAAAATCGTCAATTCCTAAGCTTGGAGAAAACCAAGACTTCTACTGTGACGTATAACTCACAAGAATTGTTATGAAGTATTGTAGCCTGCTTTCTTTAAGTTCGCATATACGTGTATATATCTGTTACATTTGTTTTTTATACTTTTGGTGCCTAGAAGGTCCGAAAATCTGGTCATTTATCGGAGGGGTTACAGTTGACAGTTGATTATTGCTATTACTCAAAGGTCCGCGTTAAGCACATGTAAATTGAAGTAGTTTTCGATAGCAGTTGTACAGTGTTTAGATTAGTAATCCAATAAGCTTCTTTTATTTCTCTGAAAAACGACTCAGGAACTTGAACCAACGGTCATTGCCCAACAAGGCCTGTACTCTGTTATTGAGCTATAAGAAAATACTACCCTTCTTAGGTGGTCAGCTATGACTTCCAATCACAGGGTTGCAGGTTCGAATCCCCGTCCCATCAAACATGCTCGCACTTTCAGCCGTGGGAGCATTATAATGTGACGGTCATTCCCACTATTCGTTGGTAAAAGGGTAACCTAAGAGTTGGCGGTGGTTGGTGATGACTAGTTGTCTTTCACTGCTAAATTAGGGACGGCTAGCGCAGATAGCCCTCATGTAGTCTTGCGCAAAATTCAAAACAAACCAAGTTCAAGTGCCGGTTCCTGAACTTGTCCCGAAGTCATTTTTCACTTATCGGCGTTTTCACTACAGTTTTAGCCCCCTGGTGGGTTAACAGTAAATGTATTCACTTATAACGCTCAAATTCAGGGTTCGTTTACCCGCAGTAGATGTGTAACTTTTCGCGAAACCGATAACAACTTAAATTTTAATAATTAAACCAAGTAAAAGTGCTGACTTTAGCGCCCTCTAGTATATCCTTCTAATTTTAAATTATGTTTCATTCGCGATATTTAACTCTATATAGCGTATCATATTTATGGGAATAATGTGTGTTCAACAGCGTATTTTCATTAAAAAGTAGTGAATCCCTTTCACTTCAGAAACTTTACGATTATAACTAATAATAAATCTGACGGAGTCCCGCAGTATTCAGTGCTAAATAAAAATGGAAAACATCTAGAGATTTCTTTTTTTATTATTCTGATGCGTTTATAATCAATATAAATAGCTGTCAAATGTAAATGTGATTTCTTATTTGTTTTCACCAGTTTAACATATTGTGGAGTAATAATATTTTTGTCATTAGTTTTGTAAGTATATTCATAATTTTCGATCCATACTTAATAACACGAACATCTTAATTCTAAATTGAAATTATATTAAAATTAAAAAGTTAAATACTTATGTTTAGAATCATTGTCATGCGTAAATTATAGATGCAGAGATTTGTAAATTTAGATTTGAAACTGATAGCCTATGAGAAAAACTACATTTCCAGCAAGGTCGTCCCCATGCTACACTCTCAATTTTGCTTTAAATCAACGTTTATTGCAGCTTTTAGAAAAAATTTCGTCACCGTAATATATAACACTTTTTAACAGTCTCTGATCTAAATATTACTCAAATAAATGAAAACCGATGGGATAAACATGGAGGCCATTAAAGGTTTTGAGTATATTATGTAAAGATATTCTATAATGGCGTAAAATATCTTTTGGTATGAAGTAACAGACATAATCCATCAACAAGTGAAAGTTCTCGATTTTGTGAGTGTGAGTTGTGTTCTTAGTAGTTATTACTATTGTTAAAACAGAAAAATTCGTCTTTTGTCGATTGTTCTAAGAAAAAAGAAAGTATTAATAAAGAATTACAGAAAGTACAGCAGTGCAGTATCAACAGCTGAACGTTGAAACATTGTGGTAAGGGGAAAAAAGGTTCATAAACTGTATTTTAAAGTCTTAACAATTTTACTTAAGTAACACTTAGCACTGAATTGTGATAGTTATGATAATAATATAAATAATTAAAAGATTAATTTTGTCTTTGAGCTGGAGCTTAGACTGTTCTAACGTTACTTACTATCCGTTATATTCTCAACACCGTAACTTAAGTTTAACGTTAGTACTAGTAGTGGTTATCAATATGAGAAAAGTTATATACGTTTCTAATTGCCTTTAACATTACATTTACTATTTTTACAAGCGTTTATTTAATGATGCGTACCCGGAACTATAACTGTTAATCAATACTATTACAACGTCAGTATCTCTTAAGCCTAATTCTTGTAGTAGTACTAATTTTGAATAGACTGTATTAGTGTATAAGTATGGTGAACGATTTTTAACCTGTTCATGGGACCTAGTCTGTACAGTGTCATCAATCAACAAACTACTTCAGAAAATTATGAATATGAATCAACGTAACCATATTCAAATGTTTAAGTTTGAAGTTTTCCACTTCTTTTCCATTGGATCACTAATAACTTTTTTCTGCTTATGATTATGGATATTGTACTAACCTTTTAAATTCAACATTGAATTTAAAGCCATGGATGCAAGCCTAGTTAAGTGATAACTGACAAATTAGAAAAAGTTTCTTAAATACACCACATATTAAATTAATAGTTGTTGACTCCAAAACGGGGTATCTTGGGATCTTTCTTATAATAATTTCCTCAGCCTTAGGCCTATTCATTTTAACTCAATTCAAAATGAAATATAATATTCTTGAGATTAATTACAAGTTAATTAATTAATTATTAGTGGTAGGAGTACTTGGAAGACAGAGGAAATAAACTCATAATATGACATTGTTGTCATGCTTGATACGAGTCTAATTATTGGTTACTTACTATTACATATTAATTACTGTGTAGTTTATATCTTACTGCTGTGTCTTCAAGGGTGTCATGAGAAGGATTGTTTTTTTTCTGGTAATAGTGGCTAAGATTCAATCCTGGGTCTTCGTGATGGAGAGGCTGGTGCATTATCCAGTCATCTGAAATTTAATTTTATAGTTTTGATAAAATCCTAAATATACGTATTTAATTTTCTTTGTCTTTTGTTCACATTTAGATGGGTTCCTATACATCGTTTTTTGGTTGTAAGATAAGGTGTTTTCTCTGGATGTTGTTTCTTATTTTGTTACATGGTGATAACTTGAGCATGTCGTTAGATGTTTCACAATTTTTATACATTTCTTGTGCATATTCAAGTGTATATTGTTGTGTTTTAAATTATTGATTCATTTTTCTGTATTGCAGGTAAACTTGTATGTTGAATTGTTGTAATTATTTATTATTTAAATGTTTTTTGTGTTTTAATGTGCTACACTTTCATTTTGTATACGTATTTTTTTATAATTATGGGTTCTTAACGATCAGTGGAATATACATACAAGTCCTTTACGGAATTTAAAAACAACAACGTATTTACACAGGATACATGAATTTTTTTATATGGTCTAAACAGTTACTCATATGTAAATGTATCGATGGATGAAAATTGATGTAAAATTTGCCATCATGAATATTTCAGTTTGTGTGCTTGCTGACATTTATTAACTTCAGAAAGTTTTTGAAGCATTATTTTTTAAATTCTTCTCCTTATAGGAATCAACAATAATTTATAAGTTTGTTTTAAAATTCTTTCAGTACTATCTTCTTTCGGTTTGCCAAACCATAATAATCTAATTTTTTTCCTTTGAATATATACAGGTTGTTTCATTTCATCCACTCACATGTTTACTTTTTATTATAATAAAATCTTACGTGCATATTTCTCGATAGTAACTGTAGCAGTCTGTTATATAGTTTCTCGGCTTGTTTTGAGGTAATGTAAATGAAATTGGAATATTATTTTTGTTATAGTTCTCAAATGTTTGTTTTCTTACACTGTGTAGACTAAAGATGGCTTGCAACCAGTCAAACCTGACAGAAAAGGAAAAATTGTTATTCCAGAAAGTGCAAGAGGGAGCTGAAGATGAAGTTAAGACTTTGCTCAGTAGTGACGATGTGCGTATTGATCCTCTAGATGAACATGGAATGACACCTCTACAACATGCAGCTTACAGAGGAAATTACAGGCTGTGCAAATTATTTCTGGATCGTGGTGCAGATGTTAACTCAAATCATCATGATTCAAACTACACTGCACTCATGTTTGCTGGCCTAGCTGGAAAACTGGACGTTGTCAGTCTTCTTTTAGAACATGGAGCTTCTACGACTGATGTTAACTCGGTTGGTCGTAATGCTGCTCAGATGGCTGCTTTTGTTGGAAATCATGACGTTGTAACAATCATTAATAATTTTATTCCTAGAGAAGAGGTGGAGTACTTCACTGTTACTCATGGATTGGAAAAAGAACCCAAGCTTCCTCCAGAATTAGCAGCTCCACTCTACAAGTTTGTCTTAAAGACAAATATCCATCCTGTCAAACTGGCACTGTACCTTCAACAGTATCGGTCTCTTCTAGAAAATGGGAAGAAGGTATTAAAGGTCTTGGAACTAATGTGTGAGAACCAGATGAAGAGATCAGACATTAATGAGATACTGTCCTTAAAATTTCATCATTTGGGGTTTGTGTTTAAAATATGTGAGAAGTACTACAAAGAGCACAAAGGTGAAAAAGACAATCCCCAAATTCTGGAGCCTCTTATTAAGAATTGGATCAAAGGGCGGGAAGAAGATGGTTTTCCCATTGTGCTAGAAAAGTTACTTCGTCAGTCTGTGCGGGAATTTCCTTACCACGATAGTTCTGTTTTTCAGCAGTTGGTGCGTACACTGGCACCAGTGGAAATTGGACAAGAGCCCAGTGCCATCAGCATCTTGGGTCAAGCCATCAACGGTCAACGAGGCTATGAGGAAGCTGTAATGTGTTCTGCATGTGGAGAACCAAAGGCAGAAAAACGATGTTCAATATGCAAAAGTGCCCAGTATTGTGATAAGTCATGCCAGAAACGACACTGGTTTACCCACAAAAAACAGTGCCCAAAATTGGCAACAGAGTACAAGAAACGTGAGGCTGAGAAGCAGGAAGAAGAGAGTACGTCAAAGGTTTCTGAAAAGAAGAATGATGAAAATGATGTACCAGAGAACTCCCAAGTAGAATCAAGTGCTGGTGTTCCTCAGGATGATGGTGAGACTGTACCCACTAAGATGCCAGAAGAGTTCTCAGAAAAGTGCAGTTTGAAAGATGTCAGTTTGAGTGTTGAATAAAAAAATATGTATAAAGCTGTTCAAAACATGCTCTTTTTAAGAAATTTCCAGTTTGAAAAATAGTGATTATTTCACAGTTATTTGCTTCATTGTTCTAGTTAGATTGGGCAATGTTTAGTTTCTTATTCTTAAATCACTGATCAACTGACACTGTGTTTTTTTTAATGAAAAAAGGCTAAGCAGTTTTAAATCATGGACTAATTAATACAAACTGTAGTGGTACTTTTAGTAAACAGATACCACAGCTAAACCTTGGACTAACTAATACAAACTGTAGTGCCATTTTTAATAAACAGGTACCACAGCTAAACCTTGGACTAACTAATACAAAATGTAGTGAGATTTTTAATAAACAGGTACCACAGCTAAGCCTTGGACTAACTAATACAAACTGTAGTGCCATTTTTAATAAACAGATACCACAGCTAAAATCTGGACTAACTAATACAGACTGTAGTGCCATTTTTAATAAACAGATACCACAGCTAAACCTTGGACTAACTAATACAAAATGTAGTGAGATTTTTAGAAACAGGTACCACAGACTAAGCCTT